TCTTATGTTCTACTTCTTTCACCACTACTACTACTATTACTACTACTACTGTTACTACCACGAATACTACTACTACGACTACTACTACGACTACTACGACTACTACTACTACTACTACTACTACTACTACTACTACTACGACTACTACTACGACTACTACTACTACTACTACTACTACTACTACTACTACTACTAGCTACTAGCTACTAGCTACTGGCTACTAGCTACTACTACTAGCTACTACTATTATTACTACTACTACCACTACTACTAGCAACTACTACTACTACTACTACTGTTACGTATACTATTACTATTAGTAGTACGATTACTTGTAGTAGTACTACTACCACTACCACTACCACTACCACTACCACTACCACTACCACTACTACTACTACTACTACTACTACTACTACTACTGCTACTTCTACTAGTGCTATTACTACTACTGCTACTGCTGCTGTTGCTGTTGTTATTATTACCACTCCTACCACAAATGCTAGTGCTGCTGCTGCTGCTACTAGGTTGCATGTCGGGAGTGCAAACGCCCCACCATTGGGTGCACTTCGGAGAACATCGGTGACCATTGCCCTGGTTAGCTAAGGCCCAGCCTCCTGTGCAGGACTCCTTAGTGGAGCTTGAGGCCGCTGGCACCGCACGTGCAGTCTCCCTTGGCATTCCCCCTCTGCGGCCGCTCTCCTGCTCCTCCCAAAGCACGGGTGTGCAATGAGCGCCCGTTCTCGCCCTGACGCGCCGCGCCCCACATCGATGCGACAAAACAAATCCTCCAGCTCGCTGGCAGACGACTCGACCCCTCGCCGCCCCGCGAACATCTCGACCCCTTCCCCAGCACCAGCATTTGATCCCTGGTCGATCTTTCAAGGCCATGGGGGCCCAGAAAGGGGTTCCAGGCGCCGAGAAGAGTAAACGGCTTGCGATTCTTTGGGGTCGCCAGAGGTCTGGGGAGGGGGGGGGCCAGGGCGGCGCGGGATCGGGGACGAGAGGCGCACCACGACATCAACGTGGGGGAGTGCAGGTGTAGAGGATGTTCCGCGAGAGCGCCCGAGAAGGTCCACACCACCAATTCCCTTGGCTCCTCGCTGCCTCCGCCCTCAGGTTGGTGGTGGTGGTTCCCCTCGCCCAGCGGATGGGCCGCCGCCTCCTCCCCCCGCTCGCGGAGCCAGGTGCTGGTCACCAGCCCCGACCCCGACGGCGCCCGGCCTCGGCTGCCTGCAAGGGGGAGGGGGGGAGCGCTCCCGCTGACACGCCCCCTCGGCGCCGGGGCAGCCAACGCTGCCCTCCCTTCTCCTCCGAGTAAGCAGCCGCCGAGAGGCTGGACAATCGTGCGCTTCTGGGGTCCGCGCGGCCTCCCAGAAGTACAACGCAGCGACGCCCCCCTGCAATGGATGTTTTGAGGCTATACCCCAGTCGGGACGGGGGCTAGGGCAGGTCATCTGCTGGAAGCTGCAGACTGGTTGCAAAGCATTTTTGTTCGATTCAGGTTGCTCGTGCTGTAAATTGCTTGGAAGTGTGGGCTGCAGTGCAATCGTGGGTTGCCGTGCCCTCGCTTAGGCGGCCCACTCCCTATCCTGCTTGCACCGTTCACTCCCCCCCAAGATCACTGCGCGTTTCCCGTCTTCGTCTACCCGTCCCCCCTTCTACCTGCCTTTTCTCCCCGTTCTTCCCGCTACTCCTCCTCTCCCCCTCCTCTCCCCCTCTTCCTCCCCTCTCGTTTCGCGCTCGCCGAGTCCCGAGCTGAGCTTTGCGCCCGTTGGTCCTGCTCCAGCAATAGAAAAAGGGCCACGTACCTACATGCATCTTCGGACATTGCATCGTCTGTCTGGTCAGCATGCTAGTTGGGAGGACGGGTGATTACATTGTTCATGAGTTGTCGCTCCAAACCCCTCTGAGGAGGCTTGCGGCTTGTGTGTGTGTGTGTGCCGCGAAGCGGTGAGAGGAGCTTCTATGAGCATGCGGGCGGTGACCGTCATCATTACCACCACCATTGATCGTGGTTGGCGTTGTCGTCGCGTGGTCGTCGTCGTCACCACCACCACCACCACCACCACCACCACCACCACCACCACCATCATCATCATCATCATCATCATCATCATCATCATCATCATCATCATCATCATCATCATCATCATCATCACTACCATCATCATCATCATCATCATCATCATCATCATCATCATCATCATCAGCATCATCATCATCATCGTTATCATCATCATCATCCTCATCATCATCATCATCACCATTCATCACCATCATATCCATCAGCATCGTTATCGTTATCGTTACTGTCGTCATTGTCATCATCAGCCTCGCCGTCGTCATCATCAACATCACCACCAACATCTTAAGGTGATCAGCGATGTGGTACTGCTGGGAATGACGGAGTGGAAGGGGCACGAACCCTGTCCGATGCCGGGATGTATCCGTAGCCACCGCCGGTGGGATCGATCTTCGGGCACCTCGGCAGGCGGTGGACACTTGTATATGCGGGTCTTGGGGTGGCCAGATCTGTCCTTCTCTACCGCCTGGCGAGGTCCTCGATGCTCGACCCCAATATGGATGAGTTCCCGTACTTGCTGGGACCGATGGAGTGGGGGGTGGCACGAAGCCTGATGAACCATTGGGTGTTTCCATAGCCCGCGTGGTTCGAGGCGGCCAGCCAGCGGGAGAGCACGTGCCACAGGTGGGACTGGTTGAGTGGAGGGGTCGAGCCCTGATGAACAATTAGGCGTCTGCACAGCCCGCGCGGTCCGACGCGGCCTCCTCAGAGGGGGGCACGTGTTATTGGTGGGGCTGGTGGAGTGGAAGGCCACGATCCCTGATGAATAACAGGGTGCTTGCAATGTCTGCGCGGTCCGACGCGGCCTCTTTCGAGGGGGGAAGAAGCATGATATTGGCGGAATTGGTGTGGGAAACGGGAATTGCGGTACCGCGCGGAGCCGGCAGGTAATGTGAAATTCGAAAGAAAGGAGAAGGAGCGATGGGTCGTCAGAACAATAGCCTCGCTCGTGGTGTGGGGCGGAGAGAGCAGATCGAGCTTTGGGTGCCCCCCCCTTTCCCGATTTCAGCTCCCTTCCACATCCTGGCCCACCCTCTCCCAGGCAACAAGGATATATGCTTGTGGCGCACCAGGGGGCACACTGGAGCGATGAAGGAGCACGGGTTCGTCGTCACTGGTATTGGCGCGTAAGTTGCCCGCGTCAGGTCGCGCGTCAGCGCCCTCGTTCTTCCGATGCGGCGCGCCGCGCTGGCGGCCCGCGAAGCTGCGGCGCGAGGTCGCCGTACCATCTCGCGCAAGCCCCGCTTCTTCCCGTCGCTCGCCCGAGGAGCCCCTGAAGGAGCACCGGGGATGCCTCTCGGGGAGCCTCTGTGGATCATCACCGTTGGATCGACCCCTGTCCTTGGCTGTGAAACAGAAGCCGGGGACGTTTTTTTTGTTTTCAACTCTTGGTGTTGCGGTCGACCAAAGCAGAACAACAACGAATCGATAACGGCGAGACGGCAGTCCCCAAACGGAGAGCAAACTGCTCCCCGAACAGGGGAAGTACGTCGATCTTGAGCGTTTTCGAGAACATCTGAGCCCCTGTCCTCATCCCCATCCCCGTCAAGACCTCGGCGGTGAGCGAGGGGGGGGTGAGAAGGAGAAGACTTCCTCAGAGGGTTCGGAAGTCCCCAGGCCTTCTGAGACGTACTCTGAGCCTTCGCCGAAGACGCAACAAACTTCTCAGAAGGCGCGCGGGTTTCTAAGAAGTCCCGCCGCCTTCTGAGAAGGCCTTCTCCTTCTCACTTCCCTCCCTCGCTCGCCGCCAAAGACCCCCACCATCTCACCACCCCACTTGGTCCCGGGCTCCAGGCCCTCGAGCCGACCCCCCCCCCCCAGATGTGACGGGGGTCCCCAAACCGGGTGGTGACCACACCGAGTCGGTGGGGATTCGGGGTCACCGCACGGTTTTGGGACTCGGGTCGTTCTCCGAGGATGTCTCGGGCGACAGGGGCCTCCGGGGTCCCAAAACCGTGCGGTGACGGACCGTGCGGTGAGGTCTCTTGGAGTTCCGAGGTCACCGCACGGTCTGCCACCGAACCGTTTCGGGACTCCAAAGATGGGGGGGGGACGACGACGACGACGACGACGAGGACGACGACGATGACGACGACGACGACGACGACGGCGGCGGCGACGACGACGACGACGAGGACGCCGACGACGACGACGACGACGACGACGAGCCGAGGACGCAATCGTTCCGACACGGCTTTTAACCTTCGGACGCACGCCAGATTGAGCGCCCAATTAACTTCATCGGAAGAGGTCAGCCCAAATTGATCGCGGCTGTTATGCACGATTGCAGATTGGCATTTCCTTTCCGTCAAGTGTAGCAGTTTTACGTCGTGCTCAAGACGGCGATGCATATGCCGATGCCGATGCCGACGCTGATGTCGTCGTCGTCGTCCTCCTCCTCCTCCTCCTCCTCCTCGTCCTCCTCCTCCGTGGTGGAGGGGGAGGGCCGCACCTCATGCTCACCACCGCACGCCCATAGGGGAAGACCCCACCACGCCACGCCCACGGGAGGGGGGGGCCAATCGCGCGATGGGGGGGGGGCCCAGATCCTGTATCATATATCCTTCGAGGCCCGAAGGAAACGGCCTGTATCCCCATCGAGGGGTGTAAAGCTGCTGGCCTGGCGGAGTTCGAGGGGGGAAGTGAGCAGGACAAGGCCTTCTCCGGAAGCGGCGGGCCTTCTTAGAAGCCCTCGCGCCTCCTGAGATGTTTTCTGCGTCTTCGGGGAAGGCTCAGAGTTGTGGAAGACGATCAACGGAGAGGAGGCATGCTGTCAAATAGTTTCCATATGTCTGAAACAGGTTGAACACATGTGAATCACGTGGGGCGAACATGTTTGAACCATGTTCTTGTACAGTTTTAAGACATAAAACAACATTTTAATTCCAATGTCAGGGCATTGTCCTTGTCAGGGCATCCACAAGCTTAGAGCACTTCTCCTGAGGCCGGGGGACTTCCGAGCCTTCTGAGAAGCCTTCCAATCCCATTCGGGCTAGTGGGTCCTTTGCAAAGGGGGTCTCAAGAATGTGTGCACCAGTTCTTGCCATCGTTCGTGCTGGATGGGGCTCGGCTGCGTTGGATGTGGCGTTGCCGGTGGGTGCAGGAGGCCACGCCCCATGGAGCCACAGTATGGACTACTGCATGTTTCTCTATGCGACCTCATCAGGGAAGGCCACCTTTGCCTGGAACCGGGCCCCTCCTCGAGACTGTTTTTTTCTCAGGGTCTGGCGATAACCCGGGTTATCGGGCTTGCCCCCCCTCACCCCCCCAGGATAACCTGACCTTGCCGGTTGTGCAGGTCAGCGGGAGGGGGGGGCGCGGGCATATGCAGGGCTGCCCACAGCGCGAGGGGCGCGGGGGGGGGCGGCCCCGCCCTGTGACCTTCCGCGAGGGCCAACAAGAGCAGCAGGACTTTGATGTCTACGCGTTGTTCATGTCTAATTCTTCGAAAGTTCCTTGATGTCTCGGGGGGCCAAGATCCTCTCATTTCTAATTGTTCTATCCTGGACTTCTTCCTGGCCGCCAGGGGGCCAGGAACAATTAAAAACGAGCACAATTAGAAATGAGCACGATTAGAAATGAAAGACGTGAAAATCCTTATGAGGAAAGTACTGGAGGCCTCGCGCGGCGCGTACTAGTAGTATGGCCTAGTCCACGTGTCAGTTCCGTAAGCTATGGGTCGACGCTCGCGCGGCGATGCTCCGAAGCCGGTCCGACGTAAATCCGACGTCAATCCGACGTAGGCCGACGTGAACCCGACGTGAATCCGACGCACATCGGGTCTCACGTTGCCGCGCTAGGCCTCCAGGATTTTCCTCACAAAAATTCCAGTCTAGGTTTTTTACCTAACAGCGAAGACTGATAGGTTTCTAGTGGGGTCAAAAGAGAGCATCCTGATTCCCCAGGGAGGTCTGGGCAGGATCTGGGGGATGCTGGGGAAAACCGGGGACTCCTTTTTTAGCCAACAGTAGGCCACTTCGTGGTCTTCGAGTTCCCAGAACTCCATTCCTGGGCATGGTTTTGAATGCCCGGAGCCAACTGTAGGCCACTTCGTGTTCTTCGAATTCCCAGAATTCCACTCCTTGGCATGATTTTGAATGCCCGGAGCCAACTGTAGGCCACTTCGTGGTCTTCGAGTTCCCAGAACTCCATTCCTGGGCATGATTTTGAATGCCCGGAGCCAACTGTAGGCCACTTCGTGGTCTTCGAGTTCCCAGAACTCCATTCCTGGGCATGATTTTGAATGCCCGGAGCCAACTGTAGGCCACTTCGTGTTCTTCGAGTTCCCAGAACTCCATTCCCGGGCCACATTTTGAATGCTGAGGCAGGCTGATGCTGAGGCTGAGGTCGGCTGAGGCTGAGGCAGGCTGAGGCTGAGGCCGAGGCTGAAGGCAGACTGAGGCTGAGGCTGAAGCAGGCTGATTGCTGAGGCTGCGGCAGGCTGAGGCTGAGGCTGAGGCAGGCTGAGGCTGAGGCAGGCTGAGGCTGAGGCTGAGGCTGAGGCTGAGGCAGGCTTCTGAGGCTGAGCAGGCTGAGGCTGAGGCTGAGGCTGAGGCTGAGAGGCTGAGGCTGAAGGCAGACTGAGGCTGAGGCTGAAGCAGGCTGAGGCTGAGGCTGAGGCAGGCTGAGGCTGAGGCTGAGGCAGGCTGAGGCTGAGGCAGGCTGAGGCTGAGGCTGAGGCTGATGCAGGCTGAGGCTGAGGCAGGCTGAGGCTGAGGCCGAGGCTGAAGGCAGACTGAGGCTGAGGCTGAAGCAGGCTGAGGCTGAGGCTGAGGCAGGCTGAGGCTGAGGCAGGCTGAGGCTGAGGCCGAGGCTGAGGCAGGCTGAGGCTGAGCTGAGGCAGGCTGAGGCTGAGGCAGGCTGAGCTGAGGCAGGCTGAGGCTGAGGCGAGGCTGAAGGCAGACTGAGGCTGAGGCTGAAGCAGGCTGAGGCTGAGGCTGAGAGGCAGGCTGAGGCTGAGGCTGAGGCAGGCTGATGCTGAGGCAGGCTGAGGCTGAGGCTGAGGCTGATGCAGGCTGAGGCTGAGGCAGGCTGAGGCTGAGGCCGAGGCTGAAGGCAGACTGAGGCTGAGGCTGAAGCAGGCTGAGGCTGAGGCTGAGGCAGGCTGAGGCTGAGGCTGAGGCTGAGGCTGAGGCTGAGGCAGGCTGAGGCTGAGGGCTGAGGCTGAGGCTGCAGGCTGAGGCTGAGGCAGGCTGAGGCTGAGGCTGAGGCCGACGGCAGGCTGAGGCTGAGGCTGAAGCAGGCTGAGGCTGAGGCTAAAGCAGGCTGAGGCTGAGGCTGAGGCAGGCTGATGCTGAGGCAGGCTGAGGCTGAGGCTGAGGCTGATGCAGGGAAAGGCTGAGGCAGGCTGAGGCTGAGGCCGAGGCTGAAGGCAGACTGATGCTGAGGCTGAAGCAGGCTGAGGTTGAGGCTAAGGCAGGCTGAGGCTGAGGCAGGCTGAGGCTGAGGCAGGCTGGGGCTGAGGCTGAGGCTGTGACTGCGACTGCCGTTGCCACGGCGATTGTCATCGCGAATGCGACTACGACTGCGAGAACAGCAGAATTCTACAACTGGATTCTCATCTGAATCTTAAGGGACATGCTTCCAGATATGATCCTACACATCGCTGTTAGGTTGCTTTGCCGGGATAATTTCGTACTCAGGCCCGATAAGTTTGTAGGTTTGGAGTGCTGTGTTATAGCGCTCTGGAAGGTCAGGGCTTGCCTCCCCCCCTCTCGGAAAGGCGGCCGGGCCCCGACCCGGGCCGCTCGCCTGAACGCCTCACCCTGCACGGTTTCCCCCGGGGCCGTAGGCGACCCGAGGAGGAGGAGGAGGAGGAGGAGGAGGAGGAGGAGGAGGAGGAGGAGGAGGAGGAGGAGGAGGAGGAGGAGGAGGAGGAGGCGGAGGCGGAGGCGGAGGGAGGCGGAGGAGGAGGAGGAGGAGGAGGAGGAGGAGGAGGAGGAGGAGGAGGAGGAGGAGGAGGGAGGAGAGGAGGGAGGAGAAGGAGGAGGAGGGGGAGGAGGGGGGAGGAGGGAAGGAGGAGGAGGAGGAGGAGGAGGAGGACGGGTCGCCTAAGCCCTTCGGAGAAACCCTCCCCCCCGCCCCGGGGCGACCGGCCGAGGCGTGAAGGTCGTGGTGACCGCCCACGCCCAGAACGGCACCCGGGGGAGAAGCGCACTTGCCCGCTCCCCTCTGCGCCCGCCTCGGTCCTCGCTGCCAGGGGCCACGCTCCTCGCTGAGGCCTCCCATCCCCGCCGCGGCACGCTGCTTTTTTTCCGCTCGGACTCCTTCTTCCTCCACCACCTCCTCCTCCTTCTCCCCACACGTCCCTCTCCGTCCTTTTTTCCTCCTCCTCCTTCGCCTCCTCCTCGTCGTCGTCCTCCTCCTCCTCCTCCTTCTCTCCCTCGTTCCTTTCCTCTTTTCTCTTCTCCCCTCCTCCTCATCCCTCCTTCTCTCCTTCTCTCCCCTCCCCTCCTCTTCCCCGTCCTCCTGCCCCTCCTGCCCCGCTGCTCCTCCTCCTCCTCCTCCTCCTCCTCCTCCTCCTCCTCCTCCTCCGCCTCCCTTCGCTCCCCCCCCCCTAAAACCCCCCCGCAGGCATGGGCGACCTCCGGGGCTCGGAGCACGAGGGCAGCCCGGCCAAGAGGGCCAAGGCCCACGCCGCGCGCGCTCGCGCCGCGGCGCGCGCTCTGGCCTGCCCTGCCGGGAGGGGGGGCCTCGGAGGCCCAGGATCTGCACGCCCGAAATGGGTACTGAAAGAATGGGTACGATGCCCAACAGCAGTTCCTGTTCATTTTGAACAGGACTCGCTGTCCACGCCGCCGCGGCCTGTGTCCATTTGAGACAGGAGGCCGCCTGCCCGACAGCGGTCGCTGTTGGTTCGGGACAACATTTGTTGTTGGGCATGTTGCCCATTCTTTCGGTACCCATCTCGGGTGTCCAAACGGGAAGGGTGCGCCACGGGCCCTCGGAGGCCTCCGCGCGCCTTCGGGCGCCGCAGGGCACCTTCGGAGCCGCTTCCTTCGGATCTCGTCGATGCGTCGAGGGGGCACGCGCGCCTGCACCGACACCGAGGGATGTCCTTCTCTTCTCCCGACTTCTGGTCTGTCTCGCGTGGGCTGTGTCTAGGCACGCCAGAAACCAGCGACCACGGCCTCGACCACCTGGTATGAAGTAGGTTCCGCAGTCTTGGTCGTGCGTGTCCGCAGTCTTGGCTGTGCGTTCCTTCCTTTCTTCGGATCTCGGGCCGTGATTGTCCTGTTCTTCGTTCTCCTTCTCATCATCACCCTTCCGGTCCCGGCGGGGCAGTCACGGCCTTGCGCTGCATTATCTGTCTTTGTGGACGGTTCTCGCTGGACGCTCCGTCGAAGATTCTACTGTCAACCCATCTCTTTTACTTCCTTTGCGCCCGAACGGTGCAGGGCAGCTCCTGGACAAACTGGGGATCTCGCCTGAGTGGTGGGCCCATTGGGCGCTCGTCTTTCAAGAGGTCGCTTCCTGAGAAGGGAGGAGGAGGAGGAGGAAGAGGAGGAGGAGGAGGAGGAGGAGGAGGAGGAGGAGGAGGAGGAGGAGGAGGAGGAGGAGGAGGAGGAGCAGGAGGAGGAGGAGGAGGAGGAGGAGGAGGAGGAGGAGGAGGAGCAGGAGCAGGAGCAGGAGCAGGAGGAGCAGGAGGAGCAGGAGGAGCAGGAGGAGCAGGAGGAGCAGGAGGAGGAGGAGGAGAGGAGCAGGAGTAGGAGGTGGAGCAGGAGGAGCAGGAGGAGCAGGAGCAGGAGGAGCAGGAGGAGCAGGAGCAGGAGGAGCAGGAGGAGCAGGAGGAGCAGGAGGAGCAGGAGCAGGAGGAGCAGGAGGAGCAGGAGGAGCAGGAGGAGGAGGAGGCTAGGGATATTCTGATCCTCCTCCTCCGCCTCCTCTCGAGCCTGTCCAGCTGTTCCTCCCGCTCGTCCCCATGGTGGGCTGGCGGCTCGGCGGCCACCGCCGCCACCCCTGTCCGCCGTCCGCCGTCCCTTATCCACCGTCCTCGCCATTCTGTCGCTCGCCCTCTACATCTGTCACTCCCTCCCTCCCTCCATCACTTCCCTCCGCCGGCCCTGCGTTTCACCATTTTCTTCTCGGAACTGCCTCCGTGGAGCCTAGCCAATCGAGCATCCAGCCCCCCTTTCCTCCCTCCCTCCCTTGCCTCCCTCCCTCCCTTCCCTCCCTCCCCGTCTCCCCCCCTGGCTCCCTCCTCCCTCGCCCCTCCCCCCCCCCTTCCCCCGCTCTTCCTCTCCTCCCCTCCTCTCTTCCTCCTCCATGCTCCTCCTGCCTCCCTCGGCCCCCCCCCCAATCCAGCAGGCATTTGGCTCGGACCCCGTCGGCCGTGAGACCCCCGCCGCTGACAGGAGGCTCCTCCTGCCCCCCCCCTCCCCCCTCGACGCCTCCGCCTCCTGCCTCCTGCCTCGCTCGCTCGTCGCCCTTTGCTCCTACCTCCTCTTCCCCCCCTTCTCGTGGTTCCTCCCTCCTCCTCCTCCTCCTCCTCCTCCTCCTTCCCCTTCGTCCTCCTCCTCCTCCTCCTTCCCCTTCGTCCTCCGTCCTGCCGATGCCGCTCCTCTGCTCTTGCTCCTCTCCTCCAGCTCCCCCCCTCCCGCGCCCCCCCCTGCCTCACACCACGAGCAGCCCCTCGAACATGGGGACATGCCCGAGCCAGTGGCATGCCGTCCGGAGAAAGCCTGGCGACGCACAAATTCCTGTGCTCAAGCAGTGGCGAATCTCCCGGGCTTGCCTTTAGCCCCACGAAAGAATGTTGTCATAGCTGTTTGTGGTTTGCACGAACTGTTCTTAGACCATTTCTGGCCGAGACTGTTTGGTTTCAGCATATCGGTTTTATGTACTAATAATCTTGTTCTTGTTCTTAGGATACATGTCGTGGTAGGCCTATACGAGCGCTGGGACGGTCGGTCCCTGTCCCTGCTCAATGTGCACTGCAATTCTGGAAACGATCCCTTCCTCACCCCTCATCCGCGACTGCCACCACTACAGCACGCGTGGCCGAGTGGTGAAGCCGGGGGAACCCTGCTCCAAACAGCGGGGGCCAGGCTGGGGGAGGACGGCCTGGAAGTACCTTTGCCGTGGGAAACATCAGAGCAGATGGGAGAGGGGTGTGCAGCCTACTTTATGATTTATGCCCTCACCCTCCTCCGCCTCCTCCTCCTCCTCTTAATTACTCTTCCTCCTCCTCAATTGCGAGGACGTCCGAGCGGGAACCGCCGCGTGGTTCATTATCTCCATATCCTGCCTGCGCTCTCCTTGCCACACACGCATTCATCGTTTCCCTTGGTGCCGCCACGGGGAACAAGGGGCGCATCGAACGAGCAAGGGCGCCTGGCCCCTTACGACGCTTCCCTCAGGCTCAGGCTCAGGACGAGGAGGAGGAGGAGGAGGAGGACGAAAAGGAAGAGGAGGAGGAGGAGGAGGACGAGGAGGAGGCGGAGGAGGAGGAGGAGGACGAGCTCGCCCTGAAAATTACACCGTCCACCCCCCTGGCGCCCGCGCCCTGGATCGCCACCCCGTGCCCCCCCCCCCTGGCCTTCCAGGCAGCCCGGAATTGTCAGCCCCCCGTCTGCCTGCCCTGCCCCCCCGTTATTGCGGGGGCGAGGAGGCCCGCGAAACAATTTTTTCATCGCCCGCCCCAGAAAGTTTTTCCCAACCATCTTGTGGTGTTGGGCCCTCGTTTTGAAAAGACACTGCCCCGCGTCTCCTTCCTTCCTTCCTCCCGCTGCCCCCCCCTCCTCCCTCCTCCTCCTTCCTCCCTCTCATCATCATCATCATCATCATCATCAGCATCGTCGTCATCACCATCATCATCGCCATCGTCATCGTCATCATCATCTGCAGCATCATGGTCGTCATCATCACCGTCGTCGTCATCATCACTATCATCGTCGTCATCATCACCGTCATCACCATTATCGTCATAACCCTCACGACCATCATCATCACCATCATCGTCATGATCATCATCGCCATCATCATCAGCATCGCTGTCATCATAATCGTCGCCATCATCGTTGTCATCATCCCTCACACGTTTCGTGGCCCCATAGGGAGCTCCACCGAAGGCCCCAATGCCACCGCCCGCATGCGTCACCTACGCCCAAGTCGGCACACCCCTCACACGTTTCGTGGCCCCATAGGGAGCTCCACCGAAGGCCCCAGTGCCACCGCCCGCATGCGTCAGCCACACCCATGTCGGCACACCCCTCACACGTTCCGTGGCCCCATAGGGAGCTCCACCGAAGGCCCCAGTGCCACCGCCCGCGTGCGTCACCTACACTCAATTCGGCACGCCCCTCACACGTTTCGTAGCCCCAAGGGAGCTCCACCGAAGGCCCCAGTGCCACCGTCCGCATGCGTCACTTACATTCAATTCGGCACACCCCTCACACGTTTCGTGGCCCGATAGGGAGGTCCACCGAAGGCCCCTGTTCCACCGCCCGCATGCGTCACCTATACCCAATTCGGCACACCCCTCACACGTTCCGTGGCCCCATAGGGAGCTCCACCGAAGGCCCCAGTGCCACCGCCCGCATGCGTCACCTACACCCAATTCGGCACACCCGTCAGACGTTTCGTGGCCCCATAGGGAGCTCCACCGAAGGCCCCAGTGCCACCGCCCGCATGCGTCACCTACACCCAAATCGGCGCGCCCCTCACACGTTTCGTGGCCCCATAGGGAGCTCCACCGAAGGCCCAGTGCCATTCACATGTTTCGTGGCCCGTAGCCCCATCAGTGCCACCGCCCGCATGCGTCACCCACACCCAATTCGGCGCACCCCTCATACGTTTCGTGGCCCCATAGGGAGCTCCACCGAAGGCCCCAGTGCCACCGCCCGCATGCGTCACGCACACCCAATTCGGCACACCCCTCATACGCTTCGTGGCCCCATAGGGGGCTCCACCGAATGCCCCAGTGCCACCGCCCGCATGCGTCACCTATACCCAATTCGGCACAGCCCTCACACGTTCCGTGGCCCCATAGGGAGCTCCACCGAAGGCCCCAGTGCCACCGCCCACGTGCGTCACCCCCGCCCACTTTGGCACACCCCTCACACGTTTCGTGGCCCCATAGCGAGCTCCACCGAAGGCCCCAGTACCACCATCCACATGCGTCACCCCCATCCACTTCGGCACACCCCTCACACGTTTCGTGGCCCCATAGGGAGCCCCTCCGAAGGCCCCAGTGCCACCGTCCACATGCGTCACCCCCACCCACTTCGGCACACCCCTCACACGTTTCGTGGCCCCATAGGGAGCTCCACCGAAGGCCCCAGTGCAACCGTCCACATGCGTCACCCCCACCCACTTCGGCACACCCCTCACACGTTTCGTGGCCCTCTCTTAGGGCGACCAGCTCGCGTCGCGGGAACTCCGTGTTGCGTTTTGCCCGGCGCCTCGTTCGCCCGTCGTCGCTCTGCCCAGCGGTCAGAGCCTTGCCCGCTGTCGGCCAGCCAGTTAGCTAGCCAGCTCTCTGCTCCGCGCAGCGGACGACCCGCGCGCGTCGCTGGGACCCCGCCTGGGGCGACCGGCGCGCGTCGCGGGGACTCCGCGCTGCGCTGCGCCCGCAGCTTTGGATTTTTGGAGTGCGCGGGCAAAGAGGGAGGAAAAGAAGGGACGAAAACGGGCGCGATCCTCGCGAGGGGCGTGCCGACATGGGCGTCGCGGCGTGCGGGCGCTGCCGTCGGGGTTCCCGCGGAAACTGCCTGCGGCGGCCACGCCCAGTGTCACGAGTGTTCGGACAGGCGTGCTCGAGCCATTCACATTCATATACATGTACATGAGGCGTAGCCATGATCGCATCATGCAAATATATTCAATCGCACGCAGACCCATTCACACTCAGATTCCCTCGCGCTCTGACTCACCCGCGTTCATTCTTTCATATTTAGACCTATCGTATTCCTTTGCGTTGTGTACCCCGCCACATTTCGGCACACCCCTCATACAGTTCGTGGCCCCATAGGGAGCGCCACCGAAGAAGATATTCACAGTTGCGGTACTCACAACTTCATATGGTTGGGTCCTTCGCCAGGATAATTTTAATCGTTTCCCTTCATTCGTTGGGGGCACGTTGCCGCAGAAGTCGCAAGCTGACCCTGCTGCTTACTCCAGATTTCGTAATAAAAGGGAGGGGGGTCTCATTTCGGGGGGGGTCTCTTCCAGGCTATCTTGGAGGGCCTGGGGGGTCTGGGGACGATATTTTGGAGGGTTCTCCCACGGGGGAGGTCTGAAATGGCTTGTCTTGGAGGGTCCAGACCCCCTCCCTTTTATTACGAAATCTGGAGTATTCATCCCTCCTCTTTCATCATCGTCCTCCTCTTCCTCCTCCCTCCTCCTCCTCCTCTTCGCCCTCTTCCTCCTACTCCTCGTCGTCGTCGTCCTCCTCCTCCTCCTCCTGCTCCTCCCTCTCCCTCACTCCTGCTGCTCCTCCTGCTCCAACCCCCCCCCCCCTCCTGCTCCTCCCCGCACTCCTCTCCCTCCTCCCGTCTGTCCCCTCCCCCGCCCACTCTGCCGCCCCCCCACGCCCCCCCACCCCCCCTCTTTTCCCCCGCGCCCTCTCCCATCCCAAGGAGGAGGACCCGAGGATTCGAGAGCCGAGGGCAGCGAAACTGGCTCGGCCGCCGCGCCCCCCGCGCCCGCGCCCTTTGCGCAGGTTCTCGTGAGGCCTGACGAACGCCTGCCGTCTCGCACTCCCCACCGAGAGCAAGCGAGGGCGGAACCTGCAACCTGCAGTGGAGAAGCAAGACGGGGGCGTGCCGAAGTCCCGCGGACCCGTCCTGTCCCTGTTGTGCACCATCACGGTTTGGACTCATCCGCGAACACTCCAGAGTCAGCCAAGCCCGCACCTCGGACCACCTATGAGCCACAGTTTTACAAGCTCTGCACGTGATACACTGCCCTTTGGATCGAACTGGCCTCCAGGCTATGTAAACGCGCGTGCGGCAAACATGAATTGAACCCCGCCAAGTACAATTTGAAGCACGCGAACAGCACTTGAAGTATATGCTCCGTCAGCTGGCCCAGTCCGCAGAAGCCTGGTCTACCGTGCACACTGAGCAGGGAGGACAGCAAATCAATCCTCCACGCTCCAAGCGAAACAGCTTCACACACGCTCCCCAGGCGGACGGGGGAGACGATGGCACAATATCTGATGACTCCAGCCCCCAGCATGTCTACCCGCTGGGCGCGTCGAGCCAGAGAGACAACACATTGCATTCCGTCTCCCTGAAATGACCAAGTGATCGTTTTTATATTCATTGTTTTACCGATCGGCGCGGGCCCTCGCACACCCACCTCCCCCCCCCTTGGAGTAGATCTTGGCTGTTTTCGGCGAAGGTTTCGAGCTGGTGGAGTCCCCCCCCTTCATAGGGGGCGCACTGCCGCAAACAGTCGCACTAAGCACAGGCCCATAGCCAGACCCCCCCCTCCCCTCCTCTTCGCTTAATGCCGAAACGCCGAATGAGAACACGCTCACCAACCAAACCAAAGGCACTCCCCATGCAGAGCCGTGGGAGATTGTAGCACCCGTAGCTGGTGAGGCCAGGGCCCGGCACGGTTCCTGCCAGTGTATATAGGCTTTTGGATCCAGCACCGCTCTATGAAGAACGGCGTGGCGATCCCCTGAGATGCATTCCGAGGAGGAGGAGGAGGAGGAGGAGGAGGAGGAGGACCAGTGTAAACCTAAGAGTCATCAGTGATGTTGGAATTAACCCTCCCTCCAAGCTCCCTCCTCATAGGCCCCTGCAACGGTTCATTTCCATTGAGGGAGCTGCCTCGTTGGAAGACAACCGTTTGAGATGCACGCCGATGCCAGCCCTGGCAAAACGCACATGATGAGCACCAGCGACTTTAGCATATGCCCTGACACAGGAGGAGGAGGAGGAGGAGGAGGAGGAGGAGGAGGAGGAAGAGGAAGAGGAGAAGGACGAGGAGGAGCACCGGCGACTTTAGCATGTCCCTTGACTCCCCCTCAAATTGCGAGCCCTGGTCCGATGCAGCTTAGCCGACAACAGTCAGGCCGGTGCGCGCGCTGGTGTGGCACCAAGCTCCCATCGCTTATTGAGCCAAAACGGGCGAGGGAGGCTGATTTTGGCCGAGAACTTGAGTCCCTAGGAGGAGAAGGACTACGATGACGAGGAGAGGGAGGAGAGGACGACGTTAAACAGGAAAAGAAGGAGCAAGGAAGAGGAGGAGGAGGAGGAGAAGAGATAGGAGGAGGAGGAGTAAGGAGGAAGATGCGTAAGGAGGATGATGATGAGGAGGAGAAGGAGAAGGAATGAGACGAGGAGGAGGAGGAGGAGGCGGAGGAGAAGGAGGAGGAGGACGAGGAGGAGAAGGAGGAGGAGGACGAGGAGGAGAAGGACGACCAATGTAAACCCGAGACCCATCAATGATTTTGCAATAATCTCTCCATCCAAGCTCCCTCCTCAGAGGCCCTTACAATGATTCACTGAAGGCCGTGCCCCGTTGGACAACAACCGCCCGAACATCTAGAACTGCGCCAGAACACCATCCCTGGAATTTCAACTCTGCGAATCACCGCTACCGTTGTGGAAGTCGATCAGTGGAGAGGAAGCGTGCTGCCAAATAATTTCCAGATGTCTATAAATGCTTCAAACACGTTTCACATCAAAAACATGTTTGAGACACGTTCTGAGAACATGATTTACACAGTTTGAACACATCTTTAATTCAATGATAGGATTGTCAGAGTGTCCAGTGTCATTGCATTCACAACGCTACTGATTCGTTTTGATGATCCTGAGTCGTGCCAGAACGCCGCTCCTGGGGTTTCAACACCACGATAAACGTAACTGTTGCGGCCTGGCAGTCCGACTTCGTTCCAAAACGCCACTTCTTCGCCGTTAACCATGAGAACCCTTGGCACTGCTGTGAACTCTTGAAACGAGTGTGCGCGGCGCAGAGCCACATTTTGAAAAGGAGCAGCCATCCATCCGTGAAGCTTCATCTGTTGTCAATCAAATGACGAATGTGCGCGGCGCTAAAGCGAGATCAATATTTTCACAACCTCCCGCCCTCGATCCGTAACGCTCGCACAATGTTTTAAGACGGATGTGCGCGGTGCTAAGGCGAGAGCATCATTTTCAAAGCGACCCGCCCTCCATCCGTGAAACTGTTGCACATTTTAAGCTTCAGGATCGTTAGTGGTGAGGAAGTCTCAGGCGAAACGCCTGGCCCGCCCTTCGACTGGCCTCGGGGTGCGACGGGGAGGAGTGATTCACAGCGACGAGAATAGGAAGGAGCCAAGAGGAGGAGTCAGGAGTCAGGAGGAGCAGGAGGAGGAACGACGAGGAGGAGGAGGAGGATTCAGGAGCAGGAGTCAGGAGTCAGGGGTCAGGAGTCAGGAGGAGGAGGAGGAGGAGCAGGAGGAGGAACGACGAGGACGACGAGGAGCCCTCCCTCCCCCCCCTCCTCCCCCCCCCCCTCTTGGCCATGCCCGCTCCGGGCGGCGCGCTGCTGCGCGTGGCCCTGCTCTGCTGGCGGCTGCGTGCCGACCCGGCGCCGCCCGGGGCCAAGCTGCAGAAGGAGTACCTCGGCACCGTCCGGCACCGCTACTTCGGCACGGACCGCTGTCCCTCCAGACCGTGTGTGTGTGTGTGTGTGTGTGTGTGTGTGTACAGTGTGTGTGTTTGGGGTTCTCGTTTGTCCTCGGCTTGTGGAGGACGATCCATGGAGAGGACGCATGTTACCAAAGAATTTCCAGGTGTCTAAAACATGTGTTTCAATCCGTAAAAGGCATGGTTAAAACATCTTTAGAACATTTTCCGACGTTTCAAACACATTTTACACTCAATGACAGGACTGTTATGGTGTCCATTGTCGTGGCCTCCCAGCTGGGGTCCGAGTAGATGGGGTCGGGGAATCGCTCCGCATCGCCGACGCATCGGCGAGGCGGGTCGCTGCGGAGCCCCATTCTCTCCTGCGCCGACGTCGCCGATGCATCGTCGACGTCGCCGATGCGTCGCCGAGGCACCGTCTCCGGCACCCCCACTGCGGGCCGAAGCGGCGTCCCTCCAGAGGGCGGTTCCAGAGAGGGCTTCGCCCTCGAGGGTCGGAGGAGTTGCCGCCTCCGCCTCGGCGGCAGGGCCAAGGCGGCGGAAGGAGAGCGAGGCCGCCTCCGCTGGCGGCAGCCGGCGGAGGGCCAGCAACAGCCAGCGGAAGTAGCAGAAGCCCCCCCAAGAGGAGATGGCAAGGCACGTTGGCTCCGAAAATCCGCCAGGTGGACATCGTCCGGGACCCCTTCTTCGGCCCAGACTGCCGTCCCCCCAGATCGCATGTGTGTCGAAGAAGACGAGGGAGGCATAGGCACGAGCACGAACTTTGGACGGCGGGCGCGGGTTTCTTGGAGCTGCGCTGCCCCCCCCCCCCTGGCGGCGCCTGGTGCCTCCCCTGGCGCGCTCCGCGCGCCAGGGAGGGGGGCTGGCGCGGATCCAAGCAATTTTGCGCGGGCCGGCGGCAGTTTATGGTTCTGCCATTAGTTGTTTCTCTAAGAGTGTGTGTGTGTGTGTGTGTGTGTGTGTCGGGCGTTCTCGGTTGTTGCCGTCGTCAGAAGACAATTGTTGCGAGCGTCTCTGTGCTGCCCCGCCAGTTGCTGGTGGGCCTGTGCGGCTCGTGGACCGTATTGTGCGAGGGATGCGTCGCGGGAATTCTCACATGTGAGACATCTTTTAATCCCCTGGCGACAACGGAACGGGCGTGACCAGGGTGGTGGAGGGTGGGAAGGGACCGATCACGTCAAGATTCGTGCAGGCGCTGTTCGGGAATGCCCGCGAAGGGCTATTTCCCAGACGACTTTGGCGCGAAGTCGGGCTTGTCCCTCTGTCCCTCTACACGAGGAAGGTTCAAAAATAGCGAAAAGTTGCCTGGGGATGTTCTTTTCTGCGACATTTTGGGATCTGATGGCATATCTTTAGACAATTTTCAAAGTTTTGGTTCAAAATCCGCCTGCGGGGCGACGTGCCCGACCTGACTCTGGCGCGAATCCTGACATGACCAGGGGGTCGGGGGCTGGCTCCTGGCGCTGGCTCTTGGGACCCGCCCGTGCACCTTTCGTTCCTCTTGTGGGCCCCAGAAGGGGTGAGGAGGGGGAAGGAGAGGAGGAGGAGGGGGGGGAGGAGGAGGAGGAGGGAGGAGGAGGAGGAGGAGGAGGAGGGAGGGAGGGAGGGAGGGAGGGAGGGAGGGAGGGAGGGAGGGAGGGAGGGAGGAGGGAGGGGAGGAGGAGGAGGGAGGAGGAGGAGGAGGAGGAGGAGGAGGAGGGAGGAGGAGGAGAGGAGGAGGAGGAGGGGGAGGAGGGGAGGGAGGAGAGGAGGAGGAGGAGGAGGAGGAGGGAGGAGGAGGAAGCGGAGGAGGAGGAGGAGGAGGAGGAGGAGGATGGAGGATGGAGGATGGAGGATGGAGGATGGAGGAGGAAGATGGAGGAGGATGAGGAGGAGGAGGAAGGAGGAGGAGGGACCCCTCTAGGGCACCAGGGGTGAGGGTCCAAAAGAAGAGCTCTGGGGCCCAGAAGAGGAACTCTGGGTGTGAGGGGCGGGGCCGGCCACGGGCGCCCTTGCGAAGAATCGGGTGGTCTCGAGAGCCCTCGTTTCGTTGGAGGTAGCCGTGTCCCTTTCCAGAGTTGTGTTCGGGCGTTGATCGTCGTTGTCGTTGTCGTTGTCGTTGCCGTCGTCGTTGTCGTTGTTGTTGCTGTTATGGTTGTCGTTGGTGTTGTTGGTGTCGGTGTTGGTGTTGATGTTGGTGTTGTTGTTGTTGCTGTTGTTGTTCTTGTTGTTGTTCTTGTGATTGTTATGGTTGTTATTGTCGTGGTTGGTGTTGTGGTTGTTGTTGTTGCTGTTAGTGTTGTCGTGGTTGGTGTTGTTGGTCGTGTTGTTGTTGTTGTTGTTGCTGTTGTTGTTGTTGTTGTTCCTGTTATCGTTATTGTTGTTGTTGTTGTTGTTGTTGTTGTTGTTGTTGTTGTTGTCGTGATTGTTGTTGGTGTTGTATCTGTTGTGGTTGTTGTTGTTGTGGTTGTTGTTGTTGTTGTGGTTGTTGTTGTTGTTGTGGTGGTGGTGGTTGTTGTTGTTGTTATTGTTGTTGTTGTTGTTGTTGTTGTTGTTGTTGTTGTTGTTGTTGTTGTTGTTGTTGTTGTTGTTTGTGTTATTGTTGTTGTCGTTGCTGTTATGGTTCTTGTTGTTGTTGTGGCTGTTGTTGTCGTTGCTGTTGTTGTTGTTGTTGTTGCTGTTGCTGTTGCTGTTGCTGTTGTTGTTGTTGTTGTTGTTGTTGTTGTTGTTGTTGTTGTTGTTGTTGTTGTTGTTGTCATGGTTGGTGTTGTTGTGGTGGTGGTTGTTGTTGTCGTGACATCACTGAGGCGATGCCGTGGTTGGTGCTGGCCGCATCTGGGGCTCCGTGGGGCGGGGCTCGGGCCCTCGTGCTCCCCGCTCTCTCGCCTCTGCGAGCTGCGCCCGGCGTCCAGAAGGAAGGCCCGCGCGCATGCGTCTCTGTGTGCTCGGGTGGAGAGAGAGAGAGAGAGAGGGGGAAAGAGGGAGAGAGAGGGAGAGAGAGGGGGAGAGGGGGAGAGAGAAAGAGAAAGAGAGAGAGGGAGAGAGAGAGTCCCCCTTGGCGTTCCAATCAATCAAACCAATAAGACCTGACGATTTTCCACCTCGGCCACAGGTTCTCGATCACGATCGAGAAGGCACCAGACGGTACTGCTATGAGCGTGCCTTGAGCAGTCCGCCTTCCTGAAACGGCCTAAGCCAAAACACGGCAGCGACTCTGAAGTGCACAGCAAGCAAGAGGACAAGCTGAGGAACAAGATGAGGATGATCTCGGGTGGGAGAGAGAGAGAGAGAGAGAGGCTCATCGCGCGCCTCGTGGTACTTGCAGGGCTTGTCATTCAGCGGCATCAGCTCTCTGGGATGGGGGAGGGAGGGGGGTGAACCTAAGTGGAGGTCACTGTCGTCGGGCAGGAGGGGGGATGCTCCACGCTCATACTCGAGCAGCATGGCACCCGCTGGAGCACCAATTAGAGGCTGATGCAACACTCTCCACAGGCAGTCGGGAACTTAAAACGGGCACTCTTCGGGATCCGAGTTCGTCTCTAAGGTACAGCTTACGAGACCTACAATCAAGACCTCCGAGGAACTGAGAGGAGGGACCTGTAGTTGGGAGGGGGGGAGAACAAAAAGCAGAAGGGACCAGGCGCTGGGTGTAGGTCACACGACCTCGGGGAGCCTGATTCTCGGGGGGTAGGGGGAGGGGGGAGGGATATGATCAATACGGAGGGGGCAGGGAACATCAGTGTCCTAGGTGTCAAATCCCAAGAGAGATCGGCTCCGAGGTCAAATCACAAACCTGCTTCACCTTACGGGGTTGGGTCCCTTGGCGCTGTGGAGGGGGAGCTACAAGCCTAGGGAGGAGAGTCAGAGCACTGCCAAGTGGGAGTTGACCTGCCATCACTGGGATTGAGGCCCCTACCAGGCCTGGAATCATGTGACGGACGATCGCCTGCTCTTGATCACTCGCTATCGTGAACGGGAGTGCGAACATGTTGGACAATTCTTGTAGCATTCCAGCCTCACGAGTATGCATCCAATTCAAGGTGAGGTATGCACGGATAACCTGGATCGTCCTCCACTCTTTCACTGGAATCAAGATATTCACAACGAGAGCCACACAGAAGCCGATCATGAAACCCAAAATGATCCAATCACGAGGTGGGCGACTCGATATTGCGTAGTGCTTCTCTTGGTAGGTGTCTCCGTCATCGGAGTCGGTGTCAGCAGCAACGGTCTTGGCACTCATATCTCAGAGGGCGCTGCCGTTAGGGATCCCAAGGACAAGCTGCACACGCTTCGCCTTGCTCGTAGGTGGCGTACGCTTCGGGAGGTGGGCCATGATGCACTTGTTGATCTGTGCCACCACCGTCTTGTCCACCATGCGCGCCTCCAAGACCTGAGCGGCCTCAGCAGCCCAGGACGTGCGTGTGCCCAGCTGCTTCTTGCCGCCGATGAGGGACTGGAGCCAACCGATCTCCGCCCGCTTGAGAAGAGCCGTGCTAGCGGGGGCTTCCGCCACCGGTGTCGGGCTCGCCTCGCGCTCCCCCGCGGCGGAGTTCTTCGGCTTGCCACCGCTGTCCGACGCCTCGAGGAGCTTGTTGAGCTGGTCCCCGAAGCTTGACTTCATGGCCATCGCCACGTACTCGCCCTGTTCGCGGAGGTGCATCTCCTCCTTCCTGTCCTCCTTGTCCTTGAGCGCGGTCTTGAACTCAGGGTCCGCAGCCGCCAGCTCGTCCCGAAGGCGCTGGACGTCCACCTTCTTGCCCGAGGCGGAGCGGGAGCGAGGGCGGCCAGAACCCTGGCCACGGTCACGGTCACCTCGATCTGCACCACGGCCGCGAGCATCACGGTCAGAGCGGCGGTCGTATGGTGCATCACGGTGGTCACGATGGTCACGGTGCTCGCGGTACTCCCGAACGTCACGTATATCACGGGTGTCACGATAGTAGTCACGTTGGTCCCTGGAGTCACGGAGGTCGCGGTAGTCACGATCAACCTCCCGAGGTCCACGACGGTCGGGACTAAACCTGCGCTCAGGATCCCAACTGCCGTCACGACGTCGAAAATCATGCCCACGGTCCTGGTAGCTGTAGCCGCTGGAGCGCCCATCACCTTCACGGCTACCACCTTGGCGGACCCAGGGTTGACGAGGTCCACGAGAACCCATCTCTGTAGGTTGGAGAAAGAACCGTCGCCAGCACCTCACCGTCGCTCGAGCCGTCTGTATGGCGAGAGACCAGGGGCAGGCCTGCAAGGAGGCGACAATGAGCTTCGAGGGGTAGCCCATAACAAACAACTCTTAAGACGAGCTCCAAGACCCAAGATGTCGCAAATCTCACAGGCAAGCCCAAATATTGGGCTCTAGCTAGGCGTCCTGTGAAGAGAGAAACCACCATATTGAACCCTCTGGGAGGTAGTCCAGGCCAGGGAATAATATTTGTTTTTGGGCGGGTGTCTGCACAACCTTGGAGAAGCCAGACGCGGTTCTCATTCTTCGGATGAATGGAGATCTTATGCTCGGAGGGCCACAACTCCAGGTCCAACCAGACGCACGGGGCCTGAGGGTCCAAGAGGTCCGAGGCTGGGGAGAGCTTGACCTGGTAGACCTGGGACAGGTAAAGGTAGACACGCTGCCTGCAGTAGACCTTGCTAACACCTAGGATGTCGTCAACGTATCGACGCTGCCGAATCTTTATCTTCTCCGAGGACGACGGAATCTGGAAACCATGGTTTCGAAACTGCTGAGGGCGACGGGACGCTCGAAGTTCAAACCACGCAAGTAATATCGATAAAGCCACACCTGAGAGCACACCACCAATCGGTAAACCTCTAAGTTCATAAACAATCCCACCAATCGTCACTAAAGACAACCAACAATATGCTAACATCGTCGACGTGATATTTGCTATCGTTACTTTGGAATATGTTGGTGGGGCCCCGGATCGAAATGTTTTGGTTTTGTTTTCTTGTCCACGCTTGACTAGTACTGCATCTGTTCCTAGGCGATGAGATATTTCTGCAGACACCTCCTTCCACGCTTGGCCAATGAGAGTAGCATTACACTGCTCATACGCTTGATCCGCATCAGCAGCAACAATCGAGATGGACGGAAGATGGCAAGAACAGCGAAGGCAGACGTCAGTGCTGGGTGGGTCAAGGTCTTGGACGATGCGGTTAATCTCACGAGCAGCGTCTTTCATATCAAAGACTTCGCACGACACCTCACTCTCACGCAGAAGGTGTCTCGTGGCCCTGCCGATCACGCGATACCCTGCTGTTCCTGGAGCATCTGCCGAGTTGACGATGCGACGCATACAACTGTGACCTGGCTTCGCACAGCAACGCGCACCATCAGGTAAGAAGCATTTGCTTTTGACGGTTGGGAACACGTAGGGCGGGTTCGTCTTCTTTGCGGGGTAAAGCCCGAGACCATAACCATACAGCAGCATCATACTTAGAGATATCCAAACGCACTTCCCAGTCCTTGTCTAGCTCAGCTGTTTGATGGAGCCATCGTACTACATCACCCCCGTCTGCCACCCATGTTTTGTCACGCTGCTTGTCATCTGCGATATAGATGTCACTGCTTGTTTGCTCAAGTGATGCCTGTATTTCTTTCTCTAGGAAGTGCCACCGAGGTGGGGGTTGAGGTAGGGCAGCACATAGCTCTGGAGGTAGAGGAGACGAAAACCTTTACTGCAGATAATCCAACCCTCGTCGGATAACTGGCTGGAAAAGTCGTGCCGCCTGTGCCCATTCCAAGATACACACCTTCGCACTCCTGATGGCAACGAGAGGAACGCACCAGACAGGTAACCGCCACGAGCCCCTCAGCTGCTTCAACTGTAATGGTCCTGACACAAAGTTGGACGAGACGGCGGACTCTGGCAGGCAGGAAGACTGATAAGATGCACAAAAACGGCTCGCCGACACCCGATCCTTCCAGATTCTACGTGCACGAAAAGAAACACGAGGTGGCTGAGCATACCATTCCCGTGCTGGAGCATAACGCATCTGGTTAACCATCGACCGCATGGCTCCCTTGACTACATACTGGAGATGCCTCGCCTGGTACTCAAAGGGGAGCTTCAGGAGGGGCCTCCGAGCTGCCGGTTACCCAAGGCACTTCAGGTGACGGTCAATGTGGAATTTAGCTACTCTGACACGGTTGAAGTTCTGTAGGAATTCTCCAGCTAAACCTGCGGCTTTGAACAGGATCGCACCTACCTCCAAGCGTGATAAAAACGTACACACAGGCAACGGTCGCCATCGCGCTGCTAAATAAGCTAGAAGGAGTCCCAGATGCTCGTGACCAAGAAGCCAGAGGGGTCCTTCGACACTGGTGAGGAGGAACCTTTCTGTGATCTGGAGGGTGTAGAGCACGCTGTAGGGAGCGGGTTCCGGCAGGGCCCCCGGGTACTGGCTGAGAGGGCCTTGGACGAGCCTCGGGGTGACCTCCAAGTGGGCAGGGGTTGCTGTCAGCCAGACGGGGGGGGCGTACGTCGAGGAGGGGGTCGTCGCCAGGAGGGTGGTCGTCGTCGGGGTCGGGTCTTCGTCTTGGGAGGTAAGTAGAGGGTCCCCAGGCCACGTCGTAAGCTTATCAGTTCAGATTCTCGAGCGTCAGCTGCATTCGCTGATGGTGAAAACCTCCGAATCGCTAACGTTTCGAAATGAAAACTTGCCGCTTCTGATGGTACCCATATCATCGGTAGGAAAAACCGTGAGCCTCCAGAACGCCGAAGTTCACGATACCGAGGCCGATTCCCTGGTCGAACCCGAGGATGCAGAAGAGCCCGAACATGCTCCTGGAGACGCCCCAGTAGTCCAGGAAGGGCACCCCTTTTCAGACATGTTTTCCCTATGTACTGGGACGCGTAGCTGCCCAAGATGTACACTACCGCTCGATGAGGCTCACAGCTCACACCAAGAACACTAGAGAGTGCCATGGACACGATCGGCTCATCCCAGTTGTGTACACCACGACGCCATTCTGGAGGAAGCATCTGCCAGGCACGCCGAGCCCACCTCGGCATTCGTGGCATCCCGAAGGCATGGCGCAATCGACAAAGAGCAGACATGATGAGGACGACTCCGATGGTACTCCACAGGGCGACTCCTCGAAACGGTCGGAGGTCTGTCGGTCTGTTACCCACATAGTCACACAGTATGTGTTACCCACATAGTCACACAGTATGGCTAAATAGGTCGTGAGGTAGGCCCTGATGCGTCGATGGTCACGACGCTCCCATAACCACATCCGAAGTTGAGCCCCCATGCCCCCCATCGTGTAGTCGGAGCCCTTCTTGAGAATCCCACGAACAAACTTGTCTGCCGTGTGCGCGGCAGCACGCTGCTGGATTGGGTACGGCATCAGGAATCGAAGCTGTTCCAGCTCCTGGTGCGGGGGTGCCTCCTCGTCCGTCATATCCTCCGAGAGCGCGGCGTGTCGTCCCACATCGGCATCTCCCCAGAGCTCGAGGTCTCGTCCTCCGACTCCAGCGCGGCAAACTTCAGCAAACATTCCTCGTGACGTATCCCATCCTCGTGGTGGAGCCTGCACCACTGCTCCTCGAGATTCCAAAAGCTCGGGTCGAGGGTCTGATAGTACCTCTGGGAGCTCTGGGTAAACATCGCTAGCCATACTTCACGACGGTGAGATACAAACGCCTGGATTAAGATGAAGAAGGTCGGTTGGTCGTACCGTGTGGAAAACTTCGGTGGTCTGGGTGGACAGGGCAATGATGGGTAAGAAGAAGAAGAGGGCGATAGTGCACACAGAGGGATACATGCACGTCCGCTTGCGAGCAAGTGACGGGAACCGCAACTCCCCGTAGCCCTCGGTGAAGGCCGGCTTGAGGTGCGATAGGAGAGAGTCCCCTTTGGCGTTCCAATCAATCGAACCAATAAGACCTGACGATTTTCCACCTCGGCCACAGGTTCTCGATCACGATCGAGAAGGCACCAGACGGTACTGCTATGAGCGTGCCCTGGGCAGTCCGCCTTCCTGAAACGGTCTAAGCCAAAACACGGCAGCGACTCTGAAGTGCACAGCAAGCAGGAGGACAAGCTGAGGAACAATATGAGGATGATCTCGGGTGGGAGAAAGAGAGAGAGAGAGAGAGAGAGAGAGAAAGAGAGAAAGAGAGAGAGGGAGAGAGGGGGGGGGGAGAGAGAGAGGGGGAGAGAGAGGGGGAGAGAGAGAGAGAGAGAGAGAAAGAGGGACAGCTTCGAGGCAGGGCTGGGTCAAGCCTTCTGGGTGGGTGCCCGCTGGCACTTCTGAGGCCCTCCACGGGGCGGAGATCCCAGGCCCCCGCTTTGTGTGTGTTGGCGTCGGCCGAAGTTCGGGAGGTGTTTCCACCGCCGATCTTTGTTCTGCACGAGATGTTCTTGGAACATTTCTGGCCGGGACCGTCCCGTTTTGACACAGCGGGTTTGTGTTCTAAGAACGTTGTCTTTGTTGTCTTGGAACATTCGTTGGGGTTCTAAGAACAATTCCTGGTAGGCCTATAGGAATGGGGTCGGAGGATCGCGCTGAATCGCCGACGCATCGGCGATGCATCGGCGATGCGGTTCGATGTGGGGCCAAATTTCCTCCACGCCGACGTCGCGGATGCATCGTCGAGTTCGTCAATGCATCGCCGACGCATCGCCGATTTATCGCCGATTCGGCGCGATCCTCCGATCCCCTCTACTTCGACCCCATGGAGGAGGCCCCTAGATGTGTTGCTGACACGCGACAGAAACGCAGACCCCTGGAGATCTCGACCGCTTCCCCGCGACCAGCTCGTCGCCCCGAGTTGCGATCTGGGCGGTTCCAGGGCCCAGGAGGCACGGGCTGCCAGATGCGGAAGGCTGCCGAACTCCGTATGTTGTCCTTTCTCCACGGCCTGTGGGGGTCCGGGCTGTCTGCGCGGCGAGGAGGCCATCCCCATGACGATGGTGGTGACCACTCAGCCGACGAGCGGGTCGACGATTCAGCGCGGCCTCGTGGGATTCAAGGGCAGGGACATCGCTCGCTGTGCTCGACGAGCCCTCCTAGCTTCCTAAGCTATTTCTGAAGGGCTATAAACTTTGTGTACCCCTCTCCGGCCTCTCTCCCTGCCCTTCTTTCTGTCCTCGCCCCCCTGCCCTTGTCCCCCCTCTCCCCCCTTTCACGTGGGCGACCAGCAGGTGAATGACCTGCTCTGGCCTCTTACGTTCCCTTGCTCCAGCGTTGCGACCCTCGCTGTCGCTGTGCAGCGTTTCCCGTTTTTCACCTCGAGCATGAAGGGCCACTTTGTTCGCTGAGTCTCCCCTCTGCGCTGTGCGTGGGCTCCGCGATGACAGATCCTTTGCCCGGCTGGGCCATGAACTGCGTTGTATCCTAGTGCTCGGCCAGCCTTGGACCTCTGGGAGTGCTACGTACGGCAGGTTCGCGTCGTGTCGACGCGGCGGCGACCCCAGCGCGGGCGTTCAAGGCTGAACGCCATCTGTGGCTCAGAATCGGCCGCTATCGAGCGGTCTGCGCTACTGGAGCGCCGCGATCGTTCAAGGTTGGACGATCCGCGCGACGTCAAAGGAACCGACGCAGAAGTCGCCGCGGCACGAACCGCCCGTATTGCGAAAGCTTGTTTTTTTCTGGGCACCTCCACCTCGTCCTCTCCCCCGGTTTTCTTTTCTCCCCAGAGGCTCCAGTCGACCCCCCCGCCTCGCGCCGCACATGCTCCCTGTCTGCTTCGCTGCCATTGCTGGCCGTGTGCTACGTTCGCCTGTTTTGCCCCTCTCCTTCCGAGGCTACTGGCACACGCAGGAGACGAGGTTCGACATCACCATCAAGTGGAAGGCTGGGGTTATGATGTTCCAACCTACTTTAGTCTAGATCACCAGAAAGAACTTCGAGCACCAGAAAAAAGTACCGAAACTCGAGGGTTTCACTGGTCGGGCCCTGGGAGGCACTCGTCTGACACTGTTTCGACACTGTATCGACGCTCTTTTGACACTTTCCCGGCTGCTCGAAACTATTTCTGGGATGTGGTTCTTAAGCACGATGCGGGCAACATAAGGCTGGGGTGTGCCGAGCAGCTTGCCACCTGCCCCCCCATCCTGGCCAGGAAGATGCCAGGAGGGGGGCACGGAGGACGAGGACGAGGGACGCCGATGCCAGGCTGGACTTGAACGGTGTTCGCTCTCCTCCACCCTACCCCTTTTCCGCATCCACTCCTCTCCTCCTCTCTCCCCCTCCTCTCCTCGATCCTGCTTCCCGCGTCATGCCCCCTCCCCCTCTGTCCTCCCTTACCATCTTCTCCTCGTTCATCCTCCACTTCTCAGCCGTTCTGGTTCAGGCGATTTGCTGGACACGGCAGTGCTGACTTCAGAGCGGCACGGACCCGGTGGGGCCACAATCCCTCTCTCGACTGGCGCGGTTTGCTCAGCAGATTGGCGCGAGGCAGTAGTGGTGGCAGAGCGCGGTCGGTGAATGGCTCACATCTCGAGGGCCCACGGACAACTTAGCGACGCAAGAATCTGGGGTCGATTGCGCTGACTTTGGCGCGTGAGCTGCCTGCGTAAGGTCGCGCGTAATCGCCCTCGTCTCCAGTGTAGCGAGTCGCACTGGCGGCCTGCGTAAGCCGCGGCGAAAGGTCGCGATGGCACCTCGCGTAAGCCCTCCTTCCTTTCGTCGCTCAAGTGGCAATGCCAGCAGGGCCAGTGCGAACGGAGAAACGCAACGTGGACGAACTGCAAGCTTGGCGGTGCGCACCGCGATCTTTTCCTTCTTCCTTCTGCTCGTCGCGATGGTCTTCTCGCACTACCTGGGATCTGGCCGCCGCTCGGAGGAGGACAGATCGAGGCTCACGGCAGACGCGCAGGAGGACGCGGACAATCTCAACCGTTTCTTGCAGGCTGGGTCGGCGTTTGCCCCCGAGCGAGGGGCCAGAATTCGGAGTCGAGGAACAAGAGCACGCCGCTTGTCTTGGGGAGGCTACCGGGGACAAGCCGTGGCGGCGCAGTGCCGCTCGGAGTTGGCTCACAGGCGCGTCCGTGGCCCACCTCCGCAGCAGTGGCCCCAGGAGACAGGTCGCCGCAAGGCGCGCTTCGAGTCTCGACTTGCCCGTTTTGAGGAGAGCAGCGGGTGTGCAGGCCAAGCACGCGACCCGTCAGGAAGTGATTCATTGTTTTGCCGATCGGCGCGGGCCCCCCCCATGGAGTAGATCTTGGCTGTTTCTTGGCGCCTGTCTCACTTCTGAAAACAGCCGCACTAAGCAGAGGTCAGGCGTCAGACCCTCCCCCTGGACCCCCCCCCCTTCCGCCCAACGTCGAAACGCCGAAGAAGAAAACGCTCACGAATTCGTCGCCAAGGCCGTGCCTGATGTGGAGGACGCAGAGGGTGGTTATCGGGCAGCGGCGGCAGAGATGGCACTCTCGCAAGTGGTGCCGAGCTCACCCGAGCACACCCAGCCGACCTCACCGTGGAGAAGGCCCGCAGCAGCACCTTCGAGGACATCCTCCTCCTCCTCCTCCTCCTCCTCCTCCTCCTCTCCCTCCTCCTCCTCCTCCTCCTCCCCCCATCCTCCTCCCCCCCCTCCTCCTCCTCCTCCTCCTCCTCCTCCTCCTCCTCCTCCTCCTCCTCCTCCTCCTCGACCTCCTCCTCGACCTCCTCCTCCTCTTCCTTCCCCTCCTCCCCTTGTTTGGAGTCCGATTGTTCTGACTTGTGTTGTGAATCAGTCGATCTGCTCGGCGGCCACTACAATGTGCTGGGGCGTTTGGAGGGGAACAAGTGGAAGGCGAACGACGGGGCGCGGCCAGCGTTCACCGCAGACGGCACAGCCACCCTTTGCCGCTAAGGCTTCAGAAGCACCCGTGGCCCACGGTGGCCCCAGGCACCTGTTCTCGAGGCGCGAGCTGCCAAGATGCTGACAGACAGAGGGGTTGGGAAAGGATGGTTCTGCAGCAGAGTCAGACCAGTCCGATCTCGAACAAGTCTAGCGACGCTTGCACTGGCAAGTAGCTGTAAGCATTGTGTGTTCGGGAATATGCTCGATGCGACGCGTCTTGTGATTCTGGGGGTAACCAAGTTTTGTGGGGAATGGTCCTGGAGTTTTGCCGCGTCGAGCCTTTCAGTGGTCGAGTTCTCCGTCACACCCCGCCAGGCACTGGACAGGAGCCGCGCGCATCTGCAGTCGAGGTCGCCAGTGCGACCTCTGGACTTCTGGTTGAGCTGCGGCTGCCGAGCGGCGAGGCATCGATCAGTTCGTGGGCCTCGCCCTCCCCCGCCGCCCCTCCCCCTCCCGTGCGATGGCCTGCGCGGCCGCGCTCGGCTGGCAGCTCGGGTCGTCTTGCCTGTGGGCTGTCCGGCATCTCGACCGATTGGCCCTGGTGTCCAGAGGTCGGAGGGCACCAACTATACACCAACACCGATCCTGGCCCAGGATCACCCTGGGCCCAGGATCGGTGTATATGCCTTCTTGCGCAAGGCAGGAGGGCGTATACACCGATCCTGGGCCCAGGGTGATCCTGGGCCAGGATCGGTGTTGGTGTATAGTTGGTGCCCTCCTAAGAGGCGGCAGCCGGCCCCCGGCCGGGGCGGCTTGCTGGCTGGCCAGCTGCGCGCGACGGTAACTGCGAACAGGGATGGTGGCTCTGGGTGTGCGCTTTCGCAGGTCCATTCACGAGGGTTCGAGGTTCTGGGAGCGCGCGCCCTCAGGTATTGGTGAGACTTCGTGGCCTCGGGCCACGAGCCGAATTCTCAGGAAACAGCGGGGGGCCGAACACCGCCTTCTACATACAGATCCCAGCACAGAAAAGTTTTTCCCCCACATCCAATGTGGGGTTCTTGTTTTCTCTGGACACCCCGCGCAGGAACCAGAACACACACTACATCATCACCCACTCACTCACTCACTGACTCACTCACTCATTCATCATCATCACTCATCTACTCAGTCATCACGTCGCGATCACTCACACACACTTATCACCATCACCATCAGTAGCATCACCACCACATCATCAACATCAGTAGCATCATCACCATCACTCACTCACTCACTCACTCACCCACCCACTCACTCACTCACTCATTCACTCCCACTCACTTTTTCACTCATCATCAACATCACTATCATCATCGTCATCATTCACACACTCACTCACACTCGCATACTCACACACAGACCATCTTGATCACCTTGACCATCACTCGATCACACACTCACTCACCAACTTACGAGCCCTCTCCCTATGGGGCCCGCGCTTATTTTTTGAAACTGTCGTCGCTTTTGGGCTCCTGAGGCTTGAATGTGGGGGAAGTATCAGGCGGGAGGCTCGTCTGTGAGTGAATTGCGAGGAAGTCTCAGGTGGGAGCCCTCCCCCCTATGGGGCCCGCACTTCATGTTTTTAATCCGAGCGGGTCACCCTCGAACTTGTAACTGTCGTCACTTTTGGGCTCCTGAGGCCTGAATGTGGGGGCAGTATCAGGCGGGAGCATCGTCTGTGAGTCAACTGTGAGGAAGGCTCAGGCGGGAGCCCTCCCCCCTATAGGGCCTGCATTTAATGTTTTTAATCCGAACGGGTCACCCTCGAACCTGTAACTGTCGTCACTTTTGGGCTCCTGAGGCTTGAATGTGGGGGAAGTATCAGGCGGGAGCCTCGTCTGTGAGTCATTTGTGAGGAAGTCTCAGGCGGGAGCCCTCCCCCTATGGGGCCCGCACTTTCTGATTCTAATCCGAGCGGGTCATCCTCAACCCTGTAACCGTCATCATTTTGGGACTCCCAAGGCCTGAAAATGGCGGAAGTATCAGGTGGGGAGCCTTGTCTGTGAGTGAACTGTGAGGACGTCTTAGGCGGGAGCCCCCTCGCTATGCGCTCTTCAGAGGGCGATTCGCCCGACGCCATGGCAAAGCGGGGAGCGGGCGAGGGCCTTGCGCCAGGGCGAGACTGAGAATGACGCAGAGAAGACAATCAGGGCGCCTCACTAATCGCGAGGACGACAGTGAATGTTATTTCCAGACTAGCCGAAAAGGATTTTCATGCGCGGTCTTCCCGTCGGAGTAATTGCTCTGGAAAGGGGTGGCGCTTTTGGCTGTGAGCGCGCACCTGGCGCAATCTACAACATGACTGTGACCTCGGGGGCGCCAGCGCGTAGTAACTTGTTATGGTTAATTTGCACAGAGGTGTGGCTTCGCGAAGTCGGCGTAATTTCCGAGGGACTGGCCTGGGCGATGCGAGCCTGGAAATTGTGGCACAGCTGTCGATTGCCCGAGTGATCGTTGTCAATTCCGTGCGGCTGGGCGGGGGCTGTTTTCCTGAGGGGCTGCGTGGGGTGCGTTGGAGGTGGCGCAGTGACTGTGGAGTGAGTTTCGGGGGTTCGTTACAGACTCCGGCGGTGTTGTCTGGGCAATCGTGGGTTATCACGGGGCTGGTAGGTGCTGTGCTTGTGTCGTTGTGGGGTTGCTTATTATGGATGGTCGGCTCGGGGCCATTCTTACCACGGGGTATCCTTTTGGCCTTTTGGTCTTCCAGGTGCCTTTTGAATGTTTCTTGGGAGTTTGCTGGCGGTCTCGGGAGCCAAGCGTTTTGGAGGCACCCAGGACTCATACTCTATGTAGAGTGTAATGGCCTTGGGCCCCCAAGGCTCATACTCTATGTAGTGTGTAGTGGCCTTTGGCCAGACTCGGTCGTGGATGACAAGGCTTGTTGGCAGGCTTGTTGGGTTTTTTCGGGAGGCTTCATGACGGGATTTTGGAGCCTTTTGCGAGCCCCTCCAGGCTTCCTGGGGTCCGTTGGTGGGCCTCTTGGGGCTTCTTGGGGGCCTCCTGTTGTCTCCTGGGGGCATCTTGGGGCAGAAAGCTCGAAGTGTCCGTTCGGGTGGGCGATCTCGGCCCTCTCTTCGAGCCGTCTTGGAGGCCTCTTGGCCCGTCTTGGAGGTCGCTTGGGCGGTCCTGGGCCCTCTTGGGCCGTTTTTGGGCCCTCTTCGAGAGCTCTCGAGTCGTCTTGGGGCCGTCTTGGGGCCGTCTTGGGAGTAGTTTGGGCCGTCTGGGAGCGTCGGGAAGCTGAAAAGGCGAGAACGCCGAAATCCTTCAAAAACTCAGTGTGAAACCGCACATTCTGCCTCTTGGGGCCCTCTTGGAACGCCTCTCGGAGGCCTCTTGGGGCGTGTTGGGGGCCTCTTGGGCCACCTTGAGGCCATCTGGGACCGTCTTGGAGCGCTCTTGGCCTCAGGCCGTGGAGCCTGCCACCTATTCGGCGGATCCTTCGGCCTCTCCTGGATCGCTCCAGGGGCCCCCAGGCCGCGTTCAAGAGATCCGGAAGCTCTGACGGAACCCTGCCTGGGATTTGCCGGAACCTTCCCAGGATATTTTTCGCTCTGGTACCCCCATGGGGCCGCCACGCGCGCGTGATTCCGCATTTTGTTGACTTGTTACCTGAGGTCTCAGCACGCCTCTGGCCCGATGGGCTGGCGAATTTATTTGGGATTGTGGTTTCGTGGGCGCCAGCGCGAAGTAATTTACGAGGGATCGTTGTCTCGGGGGCGCAAATTCGTCACCCACTCATCCGAGGCCGAAGCGCCATTCCTTGGGCCCTTTCGGGGCGCTTCCGGGCTGCTCTTTGGGGCTTACGGGGCCGTATTGGGCCCACTTGGGCCATCTTAGAGCCATTTGGAGGCCTCAAAGGCGAGAAGACAACCAAGATTGATTTCCAACGGTTTTGGAATGATTTTGGCTTATTAAGGGGGTCCTTGGGAGGCTCCGTCGCCAGTTGGGGCCGTCCTGGGACGGTCATTGCACTTATCGACGGCATGTTGGAAACTGTCTTGAGCCATCTTGGGTTATTTTGTGCGATATAAGGGGGCCATCTTGGACTTCCTGGGGCACATCGTATGACTCTGGACCCTCAAACAAAACGCGGGAGGCCAACCGTCCCTCCAAGGGGAAAGAGGTGGTTGGAAGACTAACTTGCTAAACCACATACGCCCAAGGGGCCAGTGGGATTATTCCTCTTCGTTCTCCTTCGCTCATCCTCGCCCTCCTCATCGTCTTCTGTTGCTTCTCCTTCTTCCCCGCATTCTTTTCTTCCTTCTCCTGATCCTTCTCTTCCAGCTCTTCCCACACACTCCCTCATCCCCCGTCTCCCCCCTCCCGACAGGGGACCAAGATCATCATATCCGACGGCGACACGATCATCGAAGGAGAGCTGGATATGCGGGAGGACGGGGGCGGCGCCATCGAGGGCATTGTCATCCAAAACGGGGAGCGAGGCGGCAGTGCCAGGCGTCGGGGCTGCTAATGTGGGCGTGTGGCAGGGCGCGCCCGGACCCGACGGCACGAGTTGTTCTGCGGGTCGCCAGCCCCTGGAGCTCTCGACCCCCCCGGTTTCCCCCGTACCAGCTCCTCACCCCGAGCCCTCGCTCCTGGACTTGAGATGAATGGCGAAGAGCATCCAGCGACATCTGTTTGTGAGTCGCCAATGGATCTGGGGTTGTGATGTTCCAACCTACTTCAGCCTTGATCACCAGAAAGAATTTCGAGGACCAGAAAAGTACCCTCAAATTTTAGGGTTTTGACGTGTCGGGCCCTGGGAGACACTCGTTCGACACTCTTTCGACACTCTCTCGACACTTTTCTGGGTGCTCGAAAATATTTCTGGGATGTGGTCCTCAAGTACGATGGGGGCAACATAAGTATGGGGGGCCACCTCCCACACCGGCTGCCGATGCTGCAGCTCCTCCTCCTCCTCCGCATCACCAGGGCGGGGCCCTATCGTGCTCTGGCCCTCTCTCCTCCTGCCGAACGGCTCCAGCGCTTGCGCTGGGTGACCTGCGCATCGGTGGGGCTCAGAGGGCTGATGTCCAGCCAATCAAATGAACCTGGAGCATATACATTACCAGTGGCGGGCGGTTTCTCAATCCCAGGACTTTTTTTGAGGGTCGGGGACGACGTCGGGGTGGTGTGGTATATACTGTTTCCCCCGTTTTCCCGGGGAAACAACGAAGAATGTATACACCAGGATCCCGTATACACCAGGATCCGCTTTCTTGTGCGAAATTCAGTGTGAGGCCAGAGAACGGCGTCAGTGTATAGAGTTCGGCCCCTTAATTCAGCATAATGCAACCCGTAATCCTAACAACAATGAATTCGTGGCCTAACTTACGTCTACGGTTCCCAGGGATATTCCCTCTAAACATGGGTGGTTTTTGACTGATGCATCTGCAACAAGGACCCCCTATCCTTCATATTTTTTTGGCCCTACTAAGTTAGGTTTCCTCCTGAAGGGTTAGGGGTATTGCTTTTTCTTACAACCAGGGATGGCGGCCCTGAGGGAGGAGGCCCTGAGGGAGGAGGCCCTGGCCGAGCCTTCCCTGTTTGAGGCCGTTCATCTTCAGGGCCCCATCTCTCATGGCCTCCTCTCTTCCAGGCCTCCCACATGGCATCCGATCAGACGATGCATCGGCGATGCGGCTTGGTGTGGAGCCAGACTTTCTCCATGCCGAGCGCCGATGCGTCGCCGACGTCGCCAATTCACCAGCGATGCATCGGCACGAAGCGCGATCCTCCGACCACATCCGTCCGCACCACATTTTGGAGGCCTCCAGACTCCGAGCAGACGTGGGGAGGTCGTCGCCGCCATTCTCCTGCCCCGTCGGCCCTGCCCCCTATCTCGGGGAACAGCTAATGTCATAAGCTGTTCGACTAGGCGTAAGAGTGACCTTTCGCCGGAGTGACCTTTGGTGCGGGCACAGATGGGCCCCCGGTCGGCCGAAAGAGAAGCGGTAGCAGCGGCTTGCGCGCTTGTTTTTGGCCCCCCGTGGCCCCAAAAAGCCGCGCATCAAAGATCACTCTTACTCAGGGTCACTCTTGCGTGTAGCCGAGCTGTGACTTTTGTCCTGGACTCAACGCGTGTACAGTGCAACATGCGTGCTGCTAGCACGGGTCTTCTGTGGGGTCTCCGAGGCACACGGCTGCGAAGGTGGGGAAGGGCGGCCGCCCCGTCGGCCATGCCCCCTTCTCTTGTGGAACAAACAATGGCATAAACATGATTTTTTGGAGGCCCGCGCGGATGTCTCGGATCGGCACTGGAGCTCCCTAGCGGCGCCTCCCGCGCCGCCCCCTGGCGCGCGGAGCGCGCCAGGGAGGGGGGTCCAGCGCCGATGCGAGGCATCCGCGTGGACCTCCGAATGGTTAGGTTTGTGCCTGTTCTGTTCCCCGACCATCGGCCTGCGGGCCGCCGGCGTGATCCTTCTGGCGTCTTGCCTGGTGCTTGGCCCGCGGCCCCTCCTCGCTCCTGCGGGCTCACGCTGGGCCTCGCCCGCTTCGGGTCCGGGCCTCGTCGGCAGGGAGGTCCACTCGGGGGCCCTCAGATAGGGCGGTGACCACACCGTGTGGCGAGTCGGTGGGGATTCGGGGTCACCGCACAGTTTTGGGACTCGAGCCCCTCTCCGAGGATGCTTCGGGCGACGGGGGCGGTGACGCACCGTGCCGTGAGGTCTTCGGGGGATTTCGAGGTCACCGCCCGGTGCGTCACCGCACCGTTTCGGGACTCCAGATGCACGCTGCCGCCGCGCGTCGGCGTCTCGCAGCAGTCGAGGGCAGCGTTGGGGGAGGGATTGGTTCAGGGAGGGGGAGGCGTCGACCCCAGGTCGCCCATAGATCGCCCACTGGTCGACGATTCAGAGCAAAAGGCAATGTTTCCCCCTCGACCAGTCCCCCCTTTTCCTAACGTTCCCCCTCAAGATGGGGGGCCTGGGCAGATCGGACGGGGCTAGCACGAGGATAAATCCGTTCCAGAGCGTTCCGGAACGCTCTGAGAAGGCCGCGGCGCCCGATGCATCCTCCAGAGCCGCTGGATTTCAGAGATTCTCGACTTTGTCCCCACCCGACGTTCTCCTCGTCCGGGCTCCGTCTCAGCAGAGGCAGCTCCGTGAGGTGGATCTGGTTGCTCCTGCTGGCGGCTCCCGAGGCGGCTTATCTGTCGGGGGCGGGAGCTCCGCCTCCGCGCCCTCGCGGTCTGGGTTCCGGGGCGCGGTCCCGCGGATGCGGCCGGACCGAGGTGTGGAGATCGAGGTCGGTCGGTTCGGAGAGAGTATGCCCTAAGGTGCTTCGTGCTCGTTGGCTGTTCTCGTGCATGCTGGGGGAGGGCGCCCTCGAGGGCTCCTCAGTTTGGGCCGGCGCAGGGTCTTGTGTTACTTCTCGAAGGATGTTCTTCTATCTTAGGTCCGACCGCACGCGGTCGCACGGGCGCGTTCCGCGAGGGGCATCCGCGGAAGAGCGCCCCGCTTTTCGCAAGGGTCGCGGCCCAGCGGCCCCGGCCCGAAAAACGCCGCGGAGACGGACATGTTTTGTTCGTCCGCGAGCCTCCTGAGAGGCGCTCATCCTCCTTCTCCTCCTCCTCCTCCTCCTCCTCCTCCTCCTCCTCCTCCTCTTCCTCCTACCCCCAGACCAATAGCCGAGCAGCCCTCCGCGCGTGCTGCCCCTAATCCAGGCGGCCACTTCGGGCCGATCTTTGTGGGGGCTACTAGCCAGGGCGAGCCCTCGCTAGCAACCCCTACTAATAGGCTGCGAGTTGGGGTGCAGCCCAAGCAGACCTGGAAATTTGGTCAGTGATCTTCCGTGGGCCAGGGGCGGGCTGCGGGCGCCACCAGCCCCCCAACACGTGCACATAATCGAGGGAATGAGCACCATGACCTTGGCCAAAACTTCGTGGGATCTGGTCGACGCCTCGTTTTTCCATTTATAGATACCCACAAGGAACATCTGAAAGTCGACTGCGCGCAAGCGTGACTCTTGGCCGGATTGACCTCCGTTGTGAGCCCACCGGGGTCACCAGATACAGTCGCCAAGATCAGGATCAGTTCGGGTTCTGAAGGGGTTCGTTGTTCCTTTGGCCTGTCCATTGTTGTTTCTCTAAGGCTCCTCGTGTACCCATTCGCTGTGGGGGCCCAAAAGAGGCTTCGTCCTCGTTCCTTGTTCAGCGCTCCTTTTTCCGTAGCGGCTTGAGTGTAGCTGAATGTGACGCGGGAGCAGCGTCGTGCGCGCTCGGGTTCCCCCCCCAATATACCTCCAACGCCGCGCACCAAAAGCCATTCTGGCAATTAGGGTCGCCCTCGTGCGCAGCCGAGAAGGCGTCAAGATCGAGGATCGAAGCCCGAGGCGAGACTTTGCGCACCTCCGCCGCCTGGGAACCCGATGTCCCCAGACCCAAGGATGCAGTGGAACTGGATGTCCTTGGGCCCTCCACCCAGGGGCCGAAGCAATCTGTGTATACGCTGCCTTCCGGGGTTCTGGCCTGGGACGTCGGTTTTCCCCAGGTCTTGGCGTCGCTCGGGCGTGCGCATTTTTTTCTCGGCGAGGACCCTCGGGGCGCATCTTGGAATTCTCGTGCGATGAAAACGAGCTCGAAAAACGCACCGGGAATGGACGTCCGAGAGATGGCGAGAGGTACGTACAACATCTGGCTTTGGACGAGGATCGGTGATGTACTTCTTTGTTGTTTCTCTTTCCCCCCCTTCTCGTGCCTCCTGCGGCCTGCAGAGGCTTTCAGACCTGCTGTTGCCCAGTCGGTCGTGTCCGAGTCAATGCGTTTCGAAGGGGCGAGTCGACCGCCGCAGCGGCTGGATTCGATTTCCTTTGGGGTATTGTTTGGCATCGCTTGGCCATCGAACGGCCAAGCGACAGCAGGGCAAGGCAAGAGCAGAGAACGCATTCGTGGAACGCGTCGCTGATATCCGGTTGGTGGGGGAGCATTTGCTGCCGCAGTCGATCGCCTGGAGCATGTTCGATGATGCCATTCAGCGTTCGACGCTTGAAACTTCTATCCGAGGTGCACAGGCATACTTCGTTGGTCAGCAGCCCCGACTATCGTAGGACAGAGGGGCCGTGGTCCGCCTCCTTCCCGTCGCCGCCACGCCAGCTCGACCACCGCCACAGTTGACTCGCAGATTTGTGCCCGCCACGCCTTGTTCTGCAGACCCTGTCTCCTCTATGCCCCTCACAATTCCCAAATGCGTCCTCGCCTTTCTCGCCCCCCTCTTCGTCGTCCTTCCCCCCTGCCCCACGCAGCTCGGCCGAGCGGCCCGAGGCCACGCCTTTGCCGAACACGGCGTCTGGCGCATCAGGGGGCCTCGGAAATCATCTTTGCGAGCTGGTCTCTTGTCGGCAATTGGAGCACATAGCATTACCAGTGGCGGGCTGTTCTCCAATCCCAGGACACTCTGAGGGTCGGGGACGACGTTGGGGTGGTGTGGTGTGTACTTTTTCCCGCTTTCCCGGGGGAGCGACGACACATGTGTACCCCAGGGTCCCGCATACACCAGGGTCCCGCTTTCCCGTGCAAAGTTTAGTACAGGGCCGGAAAGCAATGCGTCGGTGTATAGAGTTTGTTTCCCATCTTTGGCCCTCTCCCGTCCCAGCCCCCCCTCCCTCCTTGGGAGCCTGGCAGGCTTGTGCCGCAGCCGCTCTGCGAGGATCGACTTCACGTGGGAGTGACCTTTCGCCACAGCGACCTTTGGTGCAGGCCCACTGGGGTTCCCCGATCGCCGAATGCGCTGCGATAGCTGCAGGGCGGCGAAATCTATACGTATCCGCTGCTCCCTGGCCAGGCCCATCCTGGACCCAGGAGCCGATACGCCCTCCTGGCCAAGCCAGGAGGGAGCGGCGTACACACCGCTGCTGGGTTCAGGATGGGCCTGGCCAGGGAGCGGTGGATACGTCTAGATTTCGTCGCCCTACGATCGCCGAGTGCGACCCGAGAGTTGCGTCTTGCGCGCTTGGGCTTAGCCCCCCCCCGCGGCTCCCCCCAACAGCCGCGCACCAAGGGTCACTCTTGCCCAGGGCCACTCCTGCGTGTCGCCGAGAGGACCTCACGCCGAGCCTCGCGGACGGGAGGAAGGTTGACTGGTACGACTCCGGGGGGGAGACCTGCGCCTGGTACGCGCAGCACAACGCGTGCAAGACGACCGCAAAATCTCGAAGGAGCAACACCTGCACGGACATGCGCCCTCGGACGTCCGCCGTGGACTCCTCGGATCGGCGCCGGGCGCCCCCTTCGTCCCCTGCGCGCGGGAAGCGCGCCAGGGGGGGGCGCCGCCAGAGGCGCCGTCCAGAGGGTGCCCAGCGCCGATGCAAGAAGTCCTGCGCGAGAGCGGCCGAGAGTTGGTGTCGAGTCGGGCCTGTCCCTCTACAGGAGGAATGTATACAAATAGTTACACAATCGCATGGGGACGTTTTTTGTTGTTGTTGTTGCATGTTTTGACTGTTTTGGAATATCGTATTACTATTTTCTAATTTTTCGTCCAAGATCCTTCGGTAGGGGGACACGCCCGACTTAAAGTTGGTGTTCGTGCCGCTGCTGCTCGTTCCGGCATCGAAGTCCACGAACTTCGGCCTCTCGGCGCAGCAGGCGTGCTGCACCTGCGGCGGCGGCCGCCTGAAGGGGGAGGAGGCCGCCCTCCCCAGGTGGCCGTACGCATCGGCGAGGGTCACCGGCGAGAGTACGCTGAGCATCGCGGGGGAGTCTCTGCCGAAGAAGGGGACGCAGATCACGATTACCCACTTCCCGTATCTGGCCTGGGTCGCCCTGAACAGCAAGGGCAAGCTGCGCAGCCACAACGACTGCCCCCACATGCTTGCCAGCACTTTGGCAGTCGCCGAAGGGAACTGGACTGAACTCCCCAAGGCCAAGTTCAAGACGTATGCCCAGGGCAAACTCAACAATGGTGCAGACACCATGGATCCGCGTCCAGCCACGCTTGCGGAGGCCAGCATGATCTGCTCCAACGACGAAGCATGTGCTGGCTTCACGTACCAGTCTGAGACAAAGAGGCCGAGACATCGTGTCTTGGTCTGGTTTAAATCTGTGTTCAAGCATCAGGGCTCTCACGGAAATCTCCAGGGCTGGCATTCGTGGAAATTTGATTCTCAGGGCGCCGACAACGAGTGCCGGAACGAGTGCAGGCAGCAAGTTGGCGATTTGGTCTTGCGAAAGGAGTATTGGGATGCAGTGGGGCAGGGCACCAGCATGGGCTAGGTCACCCGCGGGGGACCGAAGATAATCGCGTTTCACGCGTCGCGGATTGGGCCAGAGCGGTTGCCCTTCGCCAGGGGGGCGGCGCGGGAACGCGACGGCGCGAAGATAATCGCGCGTCAAGTATGGCGCGGCGCGATGCGCGATGTTCGAAGTTAACCAGATGTCCTAGATAGAATGCAAGTTCTGTGCACAACTACGGTCAGAAACTTTGCGGTAGCATGTGGCTCCGCCGCTTCTGGCCAGCCGTGTTTTGGTGCGATACGCTATCCACTGCCCGGCCGCCCAGCGTCAACGTCCTGCGCTTTTCCGAGCCTCCCGCCCCGTGGAGCGGAGCGACACGCTACCCGCCTGGAAGCGATAGCGTGTCGCTGGGGCCGCCGCCACAGCACTCTATGCCAATGCTCTTGGCCATACGCATGGATCCCCCAGTCGGTCATTGATCGAAGGGATCCCTATTACTTTGCTGCTGAGGAGCGTGGCAGCCTTGGCGGCCTGGCTCCTGCGCACCCCGGGATCGCCCGAGGCGTTTGGCTTGCTTGGCTTTGGTGCTGCGTCGCTTTCGGTCGATGAGCAGATGATGAAACCGTTCGAAGGTCCGCGCTCTTTTCTTGGATCAGAGCTGGACCCCCCTCTTCAGCCGCGCGGAGCGCGCCAGGGGCGGCGCCGGTGCCGGAGGCGCCGCCAGAGGGCTCCAGCACCGATCCGAGAAGTCCTCGCGGACGTCCGAAATTCTATGTTGATGTCAAGATTATGTTCCTCGACTTCTGTGTTCCGCTCCAGGGTCTGTGGGGGTCTCTCGGAGCGTTCGGCCTCTCAGGCGGCAGTGTTCTTGCTGTGTGTGCTCAGGTTTCTTT